TTCTGTCCGATAAATTCATTTAGATCTCCGCGTGTCGGCAGTAGCTGTAAGTTTTGCAACTTCACTATGTTGAAATCTCGACAGCCATAAGTCCGTCCCATCAGAAATAGGCGCACTACTTGTCTCAGACCCCCAACTGCGCTTCGCAACTGCTCCAAGAGCATCTTCGTCTCTTTCGATAGCAGAGTACCACCAAGAGTATCGCCGTCGACACGGTCAACGCTTCATGAGCCGTCAACAAGAAGAGAGCAAAGCTCAAAGCTCGTCAGAGCCGCGGCGCCGCCCAGAGGGAACGATGTTCTGCTCTCGGAACTTGAAGAGGGCGAAGTCGATTACGACGAGCCCATGGGTAGTGAGGATCACTCCGACCCAGCCTCTCCGAGGTCGCACACTGGTGCCGCGTCTTCCCCAGTTTCCTCTGTGAGGTCTAGCCGCTCAACGGCGCGATCTCAAACAAGAAGAGACCTGCGGACACCGCATCCGTTCTTTGAACGTTCGAATCCGAATCGCTCGCTGCGCGATGCGCCACCGCTATCGTCGCGGTATGACGAGGTAGATCGATACGATCACAACGTCATTACGAATGACCTGGACGAGGCCCAAGGCCGTCAGTTGTCCAATGAGCAGCGCTCGCAGCCGTTCCGACCTGTGGTCCGACCACTTGTTCTAACGTCACGCCGTGACTACGGCTTCCAGCCGCGGAACCCTGCCGAAGCGGCCCGCCTCGCGGCGCAGCAGCCGCTGAACACGTACACGTGGGGGCCTGCGGCCTCGACTGCTGATGAGCAAGTGCAGCGGCACCGGCTTCGAGAGCGATATCTGACTCCACAAGTCACAACTCCTCAGGAGTATCAGGCGCGCCTGCAGATGCAGCTACACCGCCAACCGGTTCCCTCTATGCGAACCATTCCGGTTGTGCTCAACCCTGGGGAATCCCAGCGTGCTTATGAAGCACAATTCCGAAGCTGGGTGGAGGGAGCTCGACGGCTCCCCTCCTACAATGCTCTTCGAGCAAGTTTCTCTGAAACTGATATTCGTCTTGAGAGACGTTTGCGCTTAGCCTTTGCTAAGTCAAAAGCACGTCGACGAGCACTGGGACCCCGTCCTCATCACCTCGAGGCGTCACCACCTCTTGCTCATGCTGCGAGAGCCGCTCATTCCTATGAGCCGGCTGCTACAGCCACTGGTCGGAGCTTGAGCTCAGCCACCGACCTGTCATCCCCGCGTTCTAGCGGCGGGAAGCGCTCGGCGCCTGACGACGCGGTCGTACGCCGTAGCGGCGGGGCAGTGAGTGTGCCCGATCAAAAGCGTCGACGACGTCAGGGCAGTCCTGCCGGAGGACAACCTCAAACTCCCAAGGGTTTTGTGACTGAGGATAACCCCTCCATTTCACAAGGTACTGAGTACGACCCTGGCGCATGCGCCTCGCCATCAGGCATTTCACATGGAAGTGGAGCTCGCCGTGCTCATCGAGCAGAGCAGGAGGAGGCCGAGCCTCAGCTGGACTCTCGCGTCGCGAGTCGCAGCGACGTGTTCGCGCTGGAGCAGCGTGTGGGTTCTCTGAACCGGTATCTCCATGATACGACTGACTCTCTGAGTCGCCTTGCAGATGGTCTCGATGAGACGAACCACCGCGTGGACTGGTTTGAACAACCAACAGTCGGTTCAGAACCGAGTCGCGGACCTTGAGCGTCAAGTCGCTCAGCTGCAAGGTCTGATCGACTTGCTGTTGCGTCTTGTGGCCCCCGCCACCTGCTGCCGCTCAGCCCGCCGTGGTTCGGCCTCCCGCTGTTGCGCAGCCTGTCGTGGCCCAGCCACCGTTGACGCCAACGCCTCCGCGCTCACCTGAGCAGGGTTCTGATACGGCTTGAGTAAGCCAACGTAGAAGACTGGATGCGTGCGCATCTTCCTTCGGAAAGGTTTAGCGTATACGCTAGGCCCTTCTTGGCCACGACCTTGAACGGCCCTATGAACCGTGGTCTCAATTTTGTCTCAAAGACTGCAGACACTGCATGAGTAGGTAGGTTTTTGGCATTTAATAAAACTAGGTCTCCGACCTCAAACCTTTCTTCATTGCGTCTGCCTTTGGCATCTGCATGTTCTTTTTGCATGTCTTGGTTTTCAGCCATAGCGTCGCGTACTTGACGCATTACGCTTAGTCTCAAAGAGACAAAGTCATCGACTTGCTTGCGAACCGCAACAGGGCTGACATCAGCTAGCCGCTCGGCTATCCCTCCCCCATCAAGCCCTGAGCCACTGCGTGGCGGCGTCAGTGGGACGCGAGGGTTAACCAAGCCGTTCACATAGAACGGAGTGTAGCCTGTCGAGGCGTGCACTGCATTATTTAATGCGAGCTCAACGAGTGGGAGCATCTGGCTCCAGCGTTTTGGCGCCTCAGCGCATACGCTTCGGAGGATATCCTCCACAACGCGATTCACGCGTTCGGTTTGACCATCGGTCTGCGGATGGTCCGCTGTGGACATGTCCAAACGAGTGCCAAGCACTCTGAAGAGTAACGTCCAGAACTTCGCGGTGAAGCGCGGGTCTCGATTCGAGACAATTGCCTCAGGCAAGCCATGTTGGCGAAAGACTCGGTCTAAAAACAGCAAAGCTGTACCTTCACCATCTATGGTGTCCGGCACCGCCGCTAGATGAGCCATCTTGCTCAATCGGTCTACAAAGACCACAATACCCGTGTTTCCTGCCTTGTCCTTGGGAAGGCCAAACACAAAGTCCATACTCATGGACTGCCAACATCCCTTGGGGACAGGCAAACTCGCCAATGGCGCTGCCGTGCTCGGCGCGGACTTCGTCCGTTGACACGTCTCATACGTGCGTACATAGGTGCCGACCCACTTATACATTTTTGCCCACCAGTACATCGTGCTCACCGAGCCGTAGGTCTTCTCCCGACCTAAGTGCCCGCCCACGGGCGTATCATGAACCTCATAGAGGATTCGATACTTGAGATCG